AAGACTGGGGGTGTACCAGGGCCAAGTTGGACACAGAAAGTGGGTGGATCTTTGGAACCTTCTTTGGATTCGACTGCTTCCAGGTAGGGGATGGAAACTCTCTCTTAGAGACACTGAGCGGGAAACTGGAGACTGGGGTTCACAGTGTTGTCAGTAGAAGCTGAGCCGTAAAGAAAACTCAAGTCTTGCTCAGTATCAACAATGTCTACTCCATGGAATGTCCAGGAGAGTCCTGCTGGCTGTTCAAGCACAAGCAGATGCTGTGCTCACTGAGCCACAGTCTCAGTTCTATGAGACACATGAACCTTAACACATGGACTTGCCTCAGCTAGAGTCAGAGCACCAGAACACAGAGCATCAGAGCCTGTGTCCAGTGTCCAGTGCAGTACCTGTCTTAGGTTGCTCCTAGCCCACAAGTAGCAACCAGCCAACTGCTAAGGCCTTGAGTGGCACAGAGTGTCTTTGGAGAACATGTAAACTAGCAACAAGGATGCAGACCTGGGTCTCTGGGTTCTCAATGAGAGGATATTCTATGTCTTGGATGAAGCCCAAGTCAAGGTGATTGATGAAAGATACTAAGATAAATTTTGTCCTTAAGGGAATAAAACCGCATAGGGCATCTGATTCTTATAGGACTGGGTAGCTTTTGTACTTTTAAAGAAGCAATTTTTTTTTCAATAAATAATGAAATGTCTAAAATCTTCCAAATACTGCATTTCCCATGATAATCCCACGATCTTTGCTATTTATATGGTCTGTGACTGTCTCCTTACCTCTCACATGTATCTTGAATATGACTCAGAGACCTTCCCTGATTAACAAAAATAGACATCCTCACATCCTCAGATATAATGCATCATTGCATAATTTCATGCAATTTATCAACTACTAAAAGTATTCTATTCACATTCATTATGTGGTTATTGTTTTCTACCTGGCTAATTTCCCTACTGATATCAGTACTTGGGATTAAAATTGTCATATTTACTGACATGTACTTAACTCTCACTTGGTTGCTTTTACTTATTCCTAAAATCTCTGACATTAAGCAAACATGTCCACATCTGTGCTGTGTAATAGGGTAACTGTTAAATGTAAAAGTGTGTTTGTCCTTTTTTATTGGGAAAAAATATATTGTGTTCCTGTCAAGTAGTAGCATTTAATTACTTCCACAATTAAAACAGTCAATTGGACACTAAAAAACATATTTATAAGAGTAACAGGTATTGTTTTAAAAGTAAATAAACATAGTTTGCATGCAAATAAGTATAATATTGATTAATTTTACTCAACACAGGAGAAAGACAGGTTCTCAAAGTGGGTGGGGCTTGAGGAGAGGATGAGTAAGTTAGTCATTGAAAGGCAGGAGTGGGTCTGATGACAGACCTCAGGCATTGCCCTAACTACCCCTGTATGGTTCAGAGAGGAATGGTGTAAGTCCACTTTCTCTTTTCTTCCAGTGAGAGATAGTTTTTGTTTTGGTTGTAGTACTGTGTGAGGATACTTATTGCTCTGCTAACAGTTATAAGGCGCAGGACCTTCAGCTTCCAGGCAACTGAAGTTGAGCGTTTAATGTGTCCCAGATCCACAGATCTACTGACATTGAACCAGGAGGTGGTCCCCAAGATGGATTCAGAAGCATACTTTATAGGTTGTTTTTAAGCCTGATCCATTTTCAAATGGTACCAGTTTAAGCTACTGCCAGTGCTCTGACTGGCCTAACAGGGGATTGTGGCTTTCTCCTCTGTAGTTCTAGATAGTAAGGCTGAAAACTGAGCCAGCACAATGTCACCACTGGAGGTTGGAACCACACAGAAAACATTAGCAGACCATAACTGTATGTACATAAAAATTAACATTAACCTAGGTAGAAAGGATGAAATAATATCCCTTACATTTTTAAAATTCAGATGTAAAAAAACTCAATTTCTTATGTTGCAAGATTCTTTGTTTTTAAAATTGCTGATTTAAATAACTTCTCGACTTTTAGCTTTTTCCAAATACTCCCACCTATAATACAGAGAAGTAGAAATTGTAAGGGGGACCCCGATTTCCTGGATTGACTTGTCACTGTTGCTGATCCCAGAGCAAGAACCTGAGATTATAAGATTCTGAGAGGCTGGACCACATCAAATGAAAAGATATATGCACATCATAGGGATATCACATTGGTTAAATATACAGAAGTTAACTGTTGTCAGGAAAGCATCTCTCCTGCTCTTCTGTGAGTGCATGTCTCCCTCTGCTGGCCACCTGCAGATGAGCGCTGCAGAGGCTCTTGTGAATCTTGAACAGATAGAGGGCCAGGCAGGAAAGTGAAGACGCCATCCATCACCATCTTCTGTAGAGTTTAAAGTTATTGGCATGAACAGTACCTCACATCCTCTGTCTCTACCAAGGGCTATGATGACTTTTGTTCTCCATCACAATGTGGGTGGAAGAAACTTTTGTCATGGGGACATTTCATAAATCATCACCCCAACAACACTATATTGATGACATAATGTTAGAAGAAATGAGCTGAAATTTCAAGGTCTACAAATTTCTTCTGAAAACACATTTGCTCTAGAGGGTAGCATACAATTCTAAAATACTCAAGGGCCTATCACACAGGTGAAGATGTGTGAACTTTAGAGAAGGGATCTGAGGCATCCTGGGTCATTCCTTTTCAAGTAAGTATAACGTGAAACCACCTCCAACTATGAGATTGAAGCATAGTGTTGGCCTGTCCTTCCTAAAGTGTTGACTCAACACATTCCACAATCAGTTCTATTATGCCATTCAACTTATCAGTTGTCTTGGAAGACTATTTTTTAAAGTGTGCCCAGGGAAAAATAAAATTTTGCAATAGACTGGTGTTTTGACACAAGTGATTTTTCACTTGGCCATGTGACCTAGTACATTGCTTAGTGCCAGATGCATATGTGTAAGATGATCTGTGAACTCTCCTGCAATGTCCTAAAGGTATAACAGCATAAATCTGTACAGTTTTAGAGCAAGATCATGCAATACTCAGAAAACAAATAAAGGATTCACTTTCAAAATTGGTGTTCCCAGAACCTCACAGGTTTCTGGTAGAAATGCCCATGATTCATTAAGTAACTCTGTGACTGGATGTCACTTATAAACTGGGAATGTTAGTCTAACCAGCTTAAAAAGTCACATGAGACTCAGCACCACTCAATATTATGATGGATATGGTACTTTTGGGAATGGGTAGAAGCAAATTCTGAGGTTCTGTTTCATTTACATGGACATGTGTTCCTGTTCCCATATCACTTTCTTTTCCTACTGTACCTCTTCACATTAGCTCACTCCCTTGACCTCATGAGTGTTCCCAATCAACTAATGCCAGATGTTAAAAAGAATAGCCAAGAAAGCAACAAGCAAAATCTTGCTTCTTCATATGTGCATTGGCATCACTTATTTGTGCTAGTAAAAGTGAACTGCTTTCACACTGTGGCGTCAATCATGGGCGGCTGTGAATTATTATTTTGAGTTACCAAATATTTGTGCAGAGTATGTGTTCATTAACTTACTGTAGCCACAAGAGGGTCCTGAGTCAGTTATATGCCTGGATTCCTGAATAGATCATTGGACAAGGTACTGGAAAGAAATTTGGAAGATCAGAGAGAGGATGCTCTAGAGAAGAGGTACGTGGATGAACACATGTGAGTGGGAAATTATGTGCGCAGAATTTTATTCACTATGTCAAAACAGCAGAGAAAATCTGCCTCTGGTATGATAGCAAGCAACAGTCTATCCTGGAAGACTCATCCACCTCTAAGCAGATTAATTTTGCCCAGTCTTTTCTCTGAACTTTCACAGTATTTGCACAATGAATTTTTAAACACAGTAGTCAGGGTGACCTAGATGTGGTATGGGCATGGACAATAACACGAGCCATGCCTCATCACCCTGTTTCCACCAGGATTGATCCCAATTTATACCTTATGACTCAGACACATTCTCAGTCGGGTGGTACCTCCATTCGGGACTGGCTGGACTGAGCAAACACATGAGTCTGCAGTCAGCTGGTGGCTCTCCTGCGGCTTGATGATCTAAAATATTTTCTTAACTGATCTAATAGCTGATTCAATGTGTAGCTTAGCAGCATTTGGCATCAGTTTATGTGGGTCAGGAAGGCAGGTCCTATTTTCCAGCCTTTATTAAGTTTGTTCCTGAGTCAATTCTGGGGTGTAAGTCCATTCCATGGGTATAGTCTAGAAGAGATTCTGCACTGACCATGTGTAATCTGAATCTAATGCAACTTATTCCTGAGAGTAGATTCAGCTATCTTCTGACATGCTGTCTTATACAATTTAGTCCCCCCAGGCTGACTGAACAGTGCAGTCAAATCCATTTGTTTTCCCTGTTTGCAGATGTGAGAGAAACAAAATGAATCAAAAGTGTTCAAAATCTTTTGACATATGACTTTGTTTTTGAGCAGATTTAACAAAATCTACCTAGTAGCCAAAAACCAAAAATATGAGTAGTTTTACTTGGGCAATCACTGAAATAGTGGTATAAAATGCCATATCTACCCCTCTACTGGAGAAAAATATGTGCGAAGAACAACTGAAAGCATGAAGGTTGGTAGAGAGAGAAACAGTCTTTATATCACTAAACCAATCCAGCTGCATATACACCAATAGTTATTCAATCAAAATAAAGTCCAAGATGTGTACTACTTTTGGGTTGCCATGAAATGACCAGTCTTAATCACAAAGGTATTAGTCTGAATGGATATAATTGACAAACAAATGTAGATAAGACTGAGAGGATTTGGATGTTCTTTCATTCAGTCTTCTCCACTTTTTTGTCTGGCTGCTTAGAGGGCACCTGGACCTCCTCCATTGTCCTGCAGGTTCTGCCATGTCTAGGCTGTTGCGGTGGGTGGAGCCCCATGTGTGGTGACTGAGTTGTCGTTCAGGCACTCAGGGTCCAAAAAAGTCACCTGCAACCTACTCTGAGTTCTCTACCATCTTGCCCTATGGTGCCTGCTCCCCAGACAAAAAACACATGTGGGCAGCTAGGCTTCAGCAAGCAGGGAGGTTTGTGCTCGGGGCTGTACCACTGTGGGAGGATATTTTATATGTTGTTGGCAGTAATAAACTCCAACATCCTCAGCTGCCACCCTGCTGATTTTTAGTGTGAAATCAGTGCCTGACCCACTGCCACTGAACCTGTCTGGGACTCCAGAGGCCCTGTTCGAAACCCTATAGATCAGGAGCTGTGGAGACTGGCCTGGCTTCTGCAGGTACCAATACAAATAGGTGTTTCCATTACTGTGTAGAAGGCTCTGACTAGATCTGCATGAGATGGAGGCCGGCTCTCCAAGGGGGACAGACAGGGAGAGTGGAGACTGGGTCATCACAACATCCCCACTGCATCCTGAAATAGAGAGATGTACAAGGTTAAGTACAAACATTAGAAGACATTATTTTCATTACTTTCTCTCTGTTACTTTTTAATGATAAATCATAATTTTTGTGAGTCAATTTTGGTTCATATCCTTCAATCATTCAATTTAAAAAAGAAACAAGGTTTATAAGGTACAAAGAAGACTCAGAATTATCCCATACCATCCCCTTTTTTCTGTGTCAGAGTCTTCTCTTGAACACAGAACTTGTTGCCTCTGGAATTTTCCCCACTCTCACATATCTAAACATTACCTACCCTACCCTGGAGGAAAGACATGGACATCTGCCATCTAACACGTGGACAGAACTCACAAGAGAGGCAGGTGAGCCCCAGAGCTTGTGCACTCCTCTCAATTACCCTTCCTCATCACCCTCTGCCCTTACCAGGGACCCAGAGCATCAGCAGCCCCAGGAGCTGAGCAGGGAACCTCATTTTGAGAAGTCGAACTGAGGTGTCCTGATCAGTCAAGGCAGGGCCAGAGCTGAGCTTTTATGTCAGATTCACAAGGGAAGTTCCTCCCCAGGGGACAGTATGCAAATCCCCTAGTGGGTGCAATGGTATGGAAAGAGCCAAGAGGAAGGCGAGGCCTCTCTTGTAAGCAAAGTGACATAAAATGTTCTCTGTATTTGGAGAAAAACCAATGGAGATAAAGCTGATGTAGCCTGAGTGGGTGAAATGATACTTTTGTTTCCTTCTGTTTTCTCTAGAAGATTTGTATTTTTTTTACACTTTCTCCGGAACATGTTATACTTCTTTGTAATATGTTGGGTCTTTATTAACGTTTGGTTATTCTCTTTTATAAATCAGTTTAAGAGTCTATGTTCAGTGAATTTTAGATTTTTTAATTGAGATAAGGCACACAGAGTAAAGAGCAAAAATTTTTAATATGTAACTGGTTTTGGTGGCTCAGTCTGTAATCCCATCACTTTGAGAGGTCAAGGTGAGAGAATTGCCTGAGCCTGGGGGGGGGTTCTTGCCCAACTTGGGAAACTTGGTGAGACCTTGTCTCTACAATAAGTCACAAAAAGTAGCTGGGCATGGTGGTGTGGATCTGTAGTTCCAGCTACTTGGATGTCTGAGGTGGAAGGATTGCCTAAGCCCAGCATGTCGAGGCTATGGTGGCCGTGTGTGTGCCACTGCACTCTAGCCTGGGTGAGACTCCAACTCAAAACAAACAAGAAAAATGCAGTTGAATAAAGTTTAGGTAAGTTCACTGTGTAGATGGAACTGTAGAAAATTTCAAGTTCTCCTGATGTTTCCTTTATGCCCCATTCAGTCATCAATTCTCCTTCTATCTCAAGCAAGGTAATGTCATTCTGACACCGATCACAGTAGTTTGGGTTTTTCTGAGCTTGAATTTCACATACTACTTGGAAGGCTGAGGTGGAAGGATTTCCTAAGTCCAGCAGGTGGAGGTTGTAGTGCAGTGCAGTGCACTGCGCTACAGCCTGGGTGACGAGAGTGAGACTTCAACTCCAAAAAAAAAAAGAAAAAGAAAAGAAAAAGAATTCCACATATATTGAAGGAATAATTTTTGTTTGTTTTGTTTTTTAATATTTTTCTTCCTATAAAAAATCTTACTTTTGAGGGCAGCATTCCTACTTGTGTACTTGAAATTCTGCCTGTTTTCTTTTCCTGAAATTCTGAAAGATTTTCTCTTGAATTGATTCCAAAACATATCTGTTATTAATTAATCTATTCTTGCTTGGCAATAAATATTTTTACTTTGCTTTCATTTTTGAAGAGTATTTTCACTGGAAACTGAATTATTGGTTGCCCTCTCCCCCCAGCATTTAATAATGTCATTTTCCTGTCAGAATTCTAGCTTCCATTGGTGATGATGAAAATTTAGCCAGTAGCTCTATTACTGTTTCCTGTATATACTGTGTCTAGTTTTCCTTGATACAGTCAAGACTTTCTTTTTGTCTTTCAACATTCTAACTATAATGTTTTTAGTTATGAAGGTGACATTTATTCCCCAGATACTTTCTTCTACTTCATGATTCCCATTACACATGTGCTGGTATTTTTCACATTGTTCTATAAATTTCTGAAGTCTGAGGTCTTAAGTATTTTTATTTTTATTTAATATTTTTTCCTTTGAATTAATTTCATTTTTTGTCAATTTCAATTTTCTTCTGCCAGCTAAACTGTTATTGAACTTGTCTAATGAATATTGCACTTTGATTATTGTACTTTCCATTTGTAGAATCCCATATAATCCTTTGTTCACAGTTTCAGTTTCTCTATTGGTAATCCCTATTGGTTGATTTGAGAATAGTTTAAAAATAAATTTATTTAAATTATTTATTTTAAAATAATTAATTAAAAAATAAATTATTTATTTAAAAATAAAAATGTGAACATTTATTGTTAGATTAATTGGCCAGTGCTGTGGGTAAGATGCAAAGAATTGAACAGAAATTAGACTAGGAAAAATAGTTTATTTCAAAGGTAGATTAAAGAGAGAGAGAGAGAGAGGGTTGATCCACTTATCAAAGAGAGAAGGGGGCCAGGCATCTGAAGAAAACATAGTAGCCAGTGCAAGAGAATGAATGCTTTTAAAACTTCTTTGTAGGGTGGGAAAGTTGCCATGTAGATGACATGGTGGTCTTGCCACATAAGTCATGAAGAACTGATTACTCTAGATTAGGTCAACTTGACCCTTTATGGCAGAAAGACAAATACTTTCAATAGAAAGATAATAAGTTTAAAGCATGCTCGGGGGGTAACAAAATAATCATCAGTGACCATCTCCTGCAAACTGGTTCTGTCCCCTGTTGGTGATTAGTGGGCAAGTTAAAATAAAATGCTTAAAAAGCATAACAAAACTTAAAATGGCTGCTCTTTGCCTAAAGTGACTCCGTTTTGGTGCTTCATCCTTTCCTTTATACAACAACTACTCTAAAGCCAATAATTTAAAACAAATCAAAATCAGCTTCCACTAACTGTTGTCATTGTCGTTTTTTGCTTTTGTTCCCTCAGTATTGGTCATACTTTTCTGCTTCTTTACAGGACTTCAAAAATTTAAATCTGTACATTTTAGATAAACTTTGGATTATATTTTATTGTGCTGACCATTCATGAATTTCTTTTCATCCATTTGCTTGGGCTTATACTGAAAAATTTGACACCTTCCTTGATGCTTGCCCATTAATATTTGTGATCATTTTAATACTTAATGTCAAAATTTATGTTGGATTTCTAGGAACTGCCCGTATATGAGAGGAGATCAAAGAAAACCTCCAAAACCAACTTTTTTTTGAGTTGAAGTCTCACTCCATCACCCAGACTGGGGTGCAGTGGCATGCTCCCGGCCACCGCAGCCTCGACCTGCTGGGCTCCGGTGATTCTTCCACCTCAGCCTTCCAAGTAGCTGGAACTACAGGTGCGTGCTACCATGCCCAGTTAAATTTTGATTTATTGTGGAGATGAAGTCTCGCCAAGTTGCCTGGGTGGGTCTCAAACCAGCAGGCTCAGGCAATCCACGCACCTCGGCCTCCCAAAGCGATGGGATTACAGGCTGAGCCACTGAGCCGGGCAAATTATTTTTTTGATTGTGTTTATTCCTGCCTGTTTAAATTTCAGGCATCTTCAAAGTACTCTCTATTTGATAAAATACACCAATTGAGATGCTTTCTCCTCTGCTCACCACGGTTTTTGACCTGTTCAATTTTTATACATTTTAGTTCTTTTGCTGCTGTTTGTTTCTCTTCTTCTAAATTGGTAAAATATTCCCTTTGAAGAATTCCTCACCAGGGAATCAAAAAAGTTACCAAGGGTGAGATTCTGTAAATAGGGAGGGTGGGGCATGGGAGTCTTGACATTTTTGGTCAAAAACTACTAAACATTGAGCTTGGTGTGGGAAGGTTCTTGGTGGAAGAATCAATCATCTGTTTACAACTCAGAATGCTTCTTGTGCACACAGCCTCTGACAAAAACTCCAGCTGGTACACTGATGCTGATGGGTTTCTAAGACATTTACCTAGCAGGGGAAGCCTGTTCCAGGAGGCTCGCCCTTCTCTTTACATGGCTTAGTAGTCACCTAAGATTGGGCAGAAGTTTTGCTGAAATATCTTGAGCTCATAAATCTACCTTCCGCTAATTGATCTGTAAGTGGTTTCAGAAGACCATGCAAATGTAGCTAGTTCTTATCTCTTTCAGCTTGTACTTTCAAATGGAGACGCATTGCTCACTTTCTTGGCATATTTTTGGATCACCTATAGAGGTGAGATGGATCTTTTCCAGTCAACAGATATTATGTTGAAGCTGTTATACTTTATATACAAGAGAATTTGTTAGAGAGTTTGTAACTCACACAAGGTAATTCTGAGGAGAGCAAGATATGTTCATGCTGGACTAAGTCGGTTTGAGGTAGACAGAGGGTTGAACTTTTATCTTAGGAGTAGGGAATAGTTTTCTGGTGGCATCAAGGTGTCTGATACACAAATACGAAGTAGAAGGAAAAGTGGGACGTGGGGACTGAAAACTGTCAGTGACAAAACAGCAAAAATTGATTCAGATTGCTTATTAAAATCATATCTTTCCAGTGAGGATCAGCTGGGACTCCAAACTTCACCTGCACATAAACTACTTATATACCTAATCCTGACTTGTAACCCACATCTTTACAATTAAAAAAATCATATATTTCTCATGCCTTCAAATATGTGATTTTTATATGTTGTTCAGTCTTTTATATCTTTTCTTGGCAGGTTGACATGTAAATAGCATGTGCATTATTTAACATACTAAGAATTTGGGGGGAAATTGTGAATTTTGTGAATAATTTGAAAAAAAATATTTTTGTGATGATCAGATCCACATTTAAGAGAGTAATTAAAATGATGTTTCTTATTAACAATTATTGAGTGCTTACTATGTCTATAAGTCAATATTAAAAACATCTGTAAATATCTTTTTACTTGATTCTTATAACAGCCCTATGTATAGTTACTTCTTCATTTTTCTTTATTACAGATGGGAAAGCAAAGAGAAAAGAGTTTAAATGATTTGCCAAATTTACACATTTAGTAGAAGAGCGAAAATTTCAACTAAGATCCTGTGGTACATTCTTCTATGATCTCAGTAATCAGTATTTAATGATCTCTTTCGCCAAACTTTATACCAGATTTTCCCAGTTCTAAATGAATAACTTGAATAAGACCAAGTTGTTGGATCAGTGTGTACTTTTTCTCAGGTTTGTTCCACTAGAGAGGTAAACTTTTATGTTGTTGAAAGTAATAGCATGACACATCTTCTAACTCCAGGCTGCTGACTGTGGGGGTAAAATCTGCCTCATACTCACTGTCACTAAATAAGGCAGAGACATAATGGTACAATAGTACTGTAATTAAGAAGATCGAGAGCCTGTCTTGCTTTTTTGTTGCTGTTGTTGGTCTGAGTTCAAGTAGCTCCTGATATCTTGACTCGTGTTGCAGCTCATGGTGACTTACTCTCTT